AATAGATGTATACTAACTTTTGACAGTGGTGCAGTTAGTACATTTCAAATAAGAGCAATAACTTGTAATTTCAAAATCATGTCAAGTATCAAACAAAATAAGAAAAATATAAAGAAATAATTATTTTAGTCTGAAGCAATATTCAAGTTTAAATGCATTTATTAAAACCCTGGACATAATATTTAATTCTTTGGCAGGCTGCAATAGAGGGACTGAAAGACTGTGTGATCTCCAGTCATGGTGCGGTAATTGCTGAGGGGAAGAACAGAGAAAAACAGCCAGACCACTGACCTCTCACCGAGGGAGCATCCTGCACATGGCAGCCTGAGCTGAGGGCTCGCCGCAGGGAACAAACGGCCAGAGACAAGGAGGCGGTGGGCAGGAAGAGCAGCGCGGTGAGGCGGAGAGGTGAGAGGCGCGCTCAAGAGTCGAGGTTATTGGGTTACGGAAAGGACCGCGAGTGGAAAAAACACACAGGAGAGAAAGGAGTGAGAGCGAGAGGAACGAAAGGTGTCGTGCTGGGATTAAAGCTGAAATGAGCATATGGAGAGAGAAAACGGGAAAAAGCAGCGCAGGGTAAAAATATGTTATTAAAAACTGCATTCAACCCTACGCCTCTGGCGCCAACCGAGTATCTTAATTAAATGAAGCAAAATCAGATCAACTGCAGGTGTAAATCCACCTGAGGCTAGTTTGGTTTCCTGTCAGCTTGCAGTAATTGTTTACACAGAAATAAACTCACGAACAGGTGGAGGGCAGCTCAGACTGCAACCGGCTTGTCAATATGGATTTGTGTGGATACTTGTAAAGTGGACAGCTCACTGAGCAAGCCAAGTGCTTCCTGTCAATATTAATTATCTCCTAAATATCATCAGAGGAAGCCACGTGGAAAGCAAGCCGGGGGAGAACCAAACAGCAAAATGTGAGAACGCTGAGGAGATATGTTTTAATGTCAGACGTAGCTTTACTCATAACATATGAGCTGTGTATTAATACCAAAGGAGAGGTAATTTTTGGGGGGGCTTATGTTTGTCCTTTCGAGTTTATTAGATAGTGGGGGAGGTTGCGCCGACAGCATGGTGCCTTCTCAGGAACCCGAGATAAAGTGGAAGCTGGAGGACGGCGGGATGAGGGAGGACTGGGCAACAAATTGATTTAATCAATTAATTAAATTGTTGTTTTTTTGTAGATTTAGACTCAGTTCATTTGGGAACCAAATTGCAACATTTGTTACATTTTCAGCTGGTTCATTTTCACACTGCACTGTCAGATAATCCAAAACGATTGAGAAACCGTTTCTTCTCCTGGCCTGTGGGGGCGCTGCATCAACAACCACTGAAGGAAACAACATAAAAACCTCTGAAGACACTGAGCACAACTTCCTTCTTCATGAAATGTAAAGACAGATTTTAGTGATTGCAGGATTTCTCTTTGTCTTTGGCTAAAGGCCATTTTTCCACTAGCACTAAACTCGCATGTTTGTTTTGGTTGTATTTACCCAGAAATCCCTGCGCTGTAGTCCGTTTCCTGCTTTTGGAGCGGTCTGTGGCACCAGAGTACAGTTCACTCAAACTGAGATGTAGGTTCGTAGGCAGAATACAGATCACATTTAAAACTCATAAGAACCACATTTTTTTGGTAAACTGGCATTGGATTAGCTAACTGAACAACGTTGGTTTGAATTCAACCTTAATCTTTGAAAATCAGATTTTTAAATTTTTTTTTATCAATGCACTCTGTAGGTTTTTACAGATTATAGAGCGCCAAGAACAGCCGTGTCGTTTTACTGGACTTTGAATTCAGGTCAGCTCTACGACCCAGAGTATTAGGACAAAGTTATTTTATTTTTAATCACAAGAACAAAGTCATTTTATGACCAGAATAAAGTCATAGAGTCAATATAACTCTAACGACAGAATATTAGCAGGATGAAGTTGTAATTTTATGCTAACTCCTACACAAAAACTAACAAAAGATTAAATGAGGAAAATTGATGAGTTTGTTTTACTTTGGTATTAGTTCTATAGCAAAGGAAATACTTCATCTTTTAACACATCCGAATCAAATCAGTAGAAGGACTTTTTATTTTTCTCATTAAAGCAACTTCCTTGTATTTTTAGGATATTATTGAGCTTTTATTAGCACTATATTCTTGTAACTAATATTCTTGTTGCTGGCCCTACCGCTCCACTGCTCAACCCACAGGGGATGGATGAATTACAAGCAACTTTTTAAAAATGTTTTCTCCCGTTTCTAACTTTATTTTTTAGAAAAGAAAACGAGAAACAAAATAGTTTCAAACCGTAAATCAGATCTGGTATGAAAAGAATCTCAGATTGAGTTTTTAGCCACGTCGCTCAGCTCTATGTTGAGGAAAGGAGGCGAAAGGTTGTTACGAATAAAGACCAGGTGAGCAAAAGGAGGGAGGAAGAACAAAGTGGTGCCTTAGAGTGTCTGCAAGTCGAGGAACCGTCGCTGGATTCAACACGGTTTCTCTGGCCAAGCCTCCAGCACTTTCCTCTCTATCCTTTTCCTGTCATTTCCTTCTGCTGCTTTGTACCATTCTTTCCCATTTCTTTCTGTTGAACATGTCCTACTATAACCTTGAATTTAAAAACTGAAACTGCATTTTCCACATTTTGTAATTTTGATTCACACATAGAGTTTGAAATGATCTCTGCAGTGGGATTTGAAAACATACAAAGAAAAGATCTTAACTAAATGTAATTGTAATTTGTATTTGTGTTTATGCAATTGGATATTCCCATTAGAAACAATAATAAAAACATAAACCAGAAGATACTTGTGTTTGAGTGCATGATTGATTTCAAAGTTGATTTCAATAACTTTGATTGAAATCAAAGTTATTTTTTGTGCTGAAACAGATGAGTAGAAGTTAACATTTGGCTGCTTTTCTGTGTAGAATAAGAAAAATAAAAGCGGCATAAATTGTATTAGCTAGACACCAGTCACATAAATTACTTTGCCTTTTCTGCATTCATAACTTTTCTCTGATTGTTTTTTTAAAATAAAATTACACATTCATTTCAGATTTTAAAACAGGCAATACAATATTTTTAACTGGGAAATACGATGAGGCTTTCCCTATTTTCTATGCTTGTCCTGAAAATACTTTAGTTTGTTTTTGATATTTTGTTTTTAATAAATGCAAAAGTTAAACCAAATTAATAACATTAATTTAGCGTATTTTCAAAGTTATGACATATTTTTTTATATTCCTGAAATGTATGAGTTTAAGGTCCAGTAATTAACTTTCCTGGCACCGAACGCCATAAAACAGGATTTAAGGATTTTGTGATGCGTTCACACCAGCCTGGTTTTTGTCTCCTTTAAGTTAGTTTGCCTAGAAAGTCCCGTTTGTTTGCGAAGATGTGAATATGTATCAAACTCTGAGGCGGACAAAAATGAGATCTCTCCGAATAACCTAAATTTTGATTCAGTTGAAATGAACTCTGGTGCGGTTTGAATGAACATGTGAACGCCGAGCAGACCAAGAGCAGGAAGCAGTCTACAGCGCAGGGGATTCTGGGTAAATACAACCAAAACAGACGTGTGTATCTGGTGCTGGTGGGAATAATGATGTGGTCTTTAACCAATAACAAAAGAGAAATACTATAACCACTAAAATTTGACGCCACTCCAGTTTTGTCTAGATTTTACAAAGAAGGAAGTTCGTGTCGTGTTCTGAGTTTTTCATGTTGTTTCCTTCAGTGGTTCTTGGTGCAGCGCCACCACAGGTGAGGGAGGGGAACAGGATTTTCAGTTACATTTTCTAAGTTGTTTGACACAATGCAGTGTGAAGCAGAACTACAAAATCCGGAAATTTTATAGTTTTGGTCTCCAAATGAACCAAGTTTACTGGATTATCAAATGTGAAAATATGCTAAAAATTACAAACCATCTGGTTGGAGGTACAAACGATCCCACATGTGAACAAATTACAAAGTTTGCTTCACATGCTACTTTTTAAATGTGGCTACCTGGCTCTTTCAAAAATCCTTTCACTTTTAATGAAAGCTGCACTGCCTTTGTGGATTTTTAAAACAAAAGTTTCAGATTTTAGTTTGAAGGAGAAACAATAAAGAACAATGTCGAACATTTTAACTTCCTCGCTGGTCATATCTGACCTTTAATCAAGATGATAACGTGATGACTCAGAGTGACATGATATAAGAAAAAATATCCTCTCGGAAGAAGCCAAACTGTTTCCAACAAAGACTCCACACACACACACTCACACAGACACACACACACACACACACACACACACACACACACACACACACACACACACACACACACACACACACTCACACAGACACACACACACACACACACACACCAGTTCAGACTGGGACATCAAGACAATGTTTTTGCGCTCCTGCTGGTTTCCACCGGTGGCGACAAGCACCTGTGCGTTTTGCGCAACAAAGGTTCCTAGCAACAGTTGTTGAGCAGAGATGCACACCTGTTTGATCTGCCTGGACCCTCTGTGATAAGTGGCCTCGGTTACCATGGCGACCAGGATATGGGATGGATCCATGTGGCGCTATTGAATGGCCTTGGATTATAAACACACATATACAGGCAGACGCAGAAACTCATGAAGACGCACACGCACCATGGTAGAAGGAGTTTGTCTCACACACACACACACACACACACACACACACACACACACACACACACACACACACACACACACACACACACACACAGTCACTTTAGAGACAGCAAACAAAAAAAGGAGGAAAATCACACAAACCAGCCGATGTGGTACGTCTAATGAAGCAGTCGGGGCATGCCAGGTTTCACACCTGCATGCAGACTCGTAACAGACTTCACACTTGAGGAAACTTGCAAAGGAAGGTCTCACATTCAGAAGGAAACAGACACATGTAGGCTGACTGCTAGCACTTCACAATGCAATGCGTGGAGAATTAAAAATTACACGACAAGGCGGCAGATGGCCGACATGCTAACAGTTACTCACAGTGTGCAGGTGGATGAGGAAACGCTTTCCCCTCTCTCCAGCGCGTCGACCTTGCAGAGAAAAGCAAATAGTAAAACCACAGCAGTCATTCACACAAAAATAGACGAACAAGAAAATGCATAATGGTGGGAGCTGTTACATTTTCTATTGCCTGAAAGGCGGGATAGAAATGTGAGCATTGAAACGCAATCAAACATGAACGACTCGTGCTGCTCTGGCAGCTTTCTCTTTTAAACTCTTTTAAAACTGAATGGTAACCAATTAAGACACCCAGTTCTGTAAAGCATCGTTCTTCTTGTTCATCAGGTGCGCTGCACAGGTTTCAAGCATTGAAATGGAAATGATGTCTCTGTTGTTGGCTTAATTTCATGCATAGAAATGCAGCATAAAGGCCTCCTGCACAAATTAAAACATAAATAAATGGCTTTTGATGGATGAAGTTAATTATATTTTCACTAGCCTGGTTATTCTGGGAAATTATTGCGTTTAGCAATGTGTGTTATTAGTTTCTTCTCTTATGATAAATCAGTCGAGTAATTCTGGTCTTAAAATATTATTTAGGAATCCTCAATCTCTTAAACCAAGCATATAATGTTTTTTGTTTTTTATTACAGTTCAATTTTATTTTGTTTTTTGACTAATTTAACTTGTTCCATAAGTTAAAAACAGTTTTTACGTTTTGTCGCACTGTGGCTAATTTTCAGGTGCAGAATTCAAACAGGTCAAAGTTTTGCATTGTATTGTGATTATGCTGCGACTGTGAATACTCAACATAAGGGACCATTTTCAAAATATATATTCAATTATTGCTGAATTATTGTTTTCTCCAAACTTTTATTGTAGCCATTTTGCGAACTAGCATAAACTTGCTAACAGCTGCAAACTGCATGTCTGGGGGAGAAAAGGGGAATAAAATCACAAACACAAAAACAAGATATTACAACAGTAATATAGTTGTAGTTGTACATAGATTTTTCCATTAGTTCCTGTTTTCATTTATTGCAGTTAGATTTAGTTTTTCCACTGGTTTTAGTGAACTATAATAATCCTGATTTACTGCTGGTTCTGGGACGTCCAACAGGAAAACAACAGATTCTTCCTAAGAAATGATGACGTTTCATACGTTTGTATTAAATTTAATTGCTGAACTTTACAAAAAAAAAAAAAAGAACTATTCTGTCTGTTAAGATATTTTATAAAAATTACAGTTATTATTTCATTGTTCAGAGGCCAACATTAAAAACATGAAAATAATTTTTTATTTTCTTGAGGAGATTGGACTTTGGAGTCTGCATTTCTCCAAGTTTGGAAAACATTTGATGTTTCAAGTAAAAAAAAAAATGAACCAATTTTTACAGAATAAAGCCAAGGACTCATTTTAAAATTAAATACTTATTCCAAATTAAATGTTATTGTTACTGATATCAGAGTTGTGACACTTCAGCCTGTTAGTTTTAGTTAACTATAAAGTTAATCCTTTATTAGTGTTAATCCATGTTTTTCTTAATGTTGACAGTTTTTTGTGAGGGCTATTGAAATAAATCCTTTCTTATCGCTGTGCAGAGGAGGCAGCCTGACAATACAGATGTTACACTTTGTCTGCGAACACACAGCCGCGTCTTATCATGACTCACAACCTGTATGTAATGAGGAACTGCGCAGCATTTGCATCACATTTTTCTCAGTGCCGGACTAAAACGGAAAGCAACAGCACCAGCGGTTGACAAATAAAGGGATCGTGTGGGAAACCAGACGAGGGGCAAGGGGTCGCGAGAGAGCCATCCGGGTCGATCCGTGCGAGCAGAAATCGGTCACGCACAGTTTGGGCTCATCAGGCAGTCGCTCAAACGAGATAAAGTGCAAACAGACTTCAGCTCGTTAATCTATTTAGTTTCTCCAGTCTCATTTTAGCAACCTTCGCCATTGTCCCTGCTGTTTCTTTTCCACTCGTCACAAATGAAATGTTGGACCATCTGTCAGTCTTGGATTTAATTAGTGCATTCACTGAAAGCTATATACCTGAAACTGTTTGAGGCGTAGGATATAAATAAAACTGTTCCAAAGTGCGGATTTGAGTTGTGCATCACGATTTTGAGAAAACAACGAAGACACTTACTGCAACATATCTGCTTAGTTTTCTGATTGAATTCCAGATGTTGTAGTTAATGAACAACAGCAGAAAAGAAGATGCAGAAGTAATTGGCCTTTCTTTGGGAAAAGGTCATTACACCGAGTGTGACAAGCTAATCTGAAAAACACTTTTAATGGGAGCCAGATGATGATGAATTTTGAAGTTGTGGAGTCTTTATTTTAATGATGTAAATTCAAAGTAGTGCCAGAGTTTTCCTAATTTTCAGGTGTAATTAAGTGAGTTTTGAATATGTTGGTGCTGAATTTTTCTAGCATTTCTGTACAATATATATAAATGCTGTTTATTCTCTTGGTTTGCTAAAATTGTACCTCAGAGATTGAATAACAAAATAAGTGAAACAACAGAAGTTTATTAAATATTCTGCCAATGTTAGACTGGAAAATTAGATAAGTTATCTATATTTAAGCTACTGCAGGACTACTAACATAAAACTCTGCACACTTCGAACTATATTTCAGTTTCATTTTTTTGTTTTTCAGCAAAGAAAAAGAAAAACGTTTCTCATAAGTATGTTGGTTTGAAACCATTGGTCCAAAACAAGATAAGAACCACAATCAATGGAGTAATAAGTTACTATAAATAAAGCAAACCATTTAGTACAACATGAGAATTTGCTGATTTCAGGGATATTTGCAGTAGTCTTCTTTATACCATGAAAAAATGCTAAGATTCTTTGTAAATCTGTGAATATAATCCTCTATCATATTCAAACTTTTTATGTTTTCCTGCCAACAAACTTTCTAATCTCCAGTTACAATGAAAAATACTAAACAGATGGACACCAACAATTGACTAATATGTTGGTTGTAATAAAGTTACAAGAAAGATACATCCTTCATACTCCAAGTATGAACAATATTCAAACATGCTAAAATGCTAATTAGAATTACATTAATACATTAGTTATCACAGACACACCAAGAAAAAACAAGATTGAACAGCTTAAAATATATAGTTAGAAATTTTTTGTGTCAAATTAAAATTATGCGACTTAAATATGCAGTCAGAAGTTTTCTATCCACAAGCTAGCATTTAATTTCCACAGTAGCCTACGGGCTAACATGCTAACAGCGATTAGCACGTGTTTTAATGAACTTTTCTGATGAATATTTGGAAGTACAGACCGATATGAGATATAATGTTAAATAAAATTCAGTTTTTAAAATACATAAGAGATTTTAACATCTGCCTATGAAAACTTATATTGTTACTGTTTGCCTATCAAGCTAGCGACACGCTATTGGCTAACTGAAGTCTGTGTCTACTTCCTTTTTCACCATGTTCCAAAATTTTTATTTAAAGTTAAACGAGCTGGTTATTTAATCGTAGAGTCCAACTACTTTATTTTTGACTTCTTAAATTAAATAAATAGATCAAATGTAGTTTTCAATGTCATTTTCACCATATTTGTGATGAGTGCACTTTATAAAGTACCAATCACTCTTGTCTTTAAGTGTTTCACATTTGTTGGGTTTGTCTGCAGACAGTATATTTTCTCAGTCTTGTGGGTTATTTTTGGCTCAGACAAAAAAGTCTTTCTTTTCCATTGGTACATCTCTTCCTCTATGCAGCCTCATGGTAATGGCTTAATAATGCAAAAACATCAAAAATCAATTAACTTTAAATTCTACTGAACATTTAATGCTGGAACTGGAAGATATTTTCAATATCCAAAATAAGTAAAACAACAGAAACATCAAATTAAACTAATTAGAAAGTCTCTAAATGTCCAAAACACCGAACTGGTAGAAAGAAAAACAATAAATCATGTGGTAACGTATGTGATTAATTGATTTATTACTTTAATGATGTAGCCCCATGTATATTTCCCAGGAACAGTTACAAATATATGTGTGATGTAATCACCTTCACAGATTAAATAAGTATTGAAATCTGTCACATTCAATGCTTTATACCTGACTAATTATCAGTGTCTGATATTGTTTTGTTTAATTTAGAAATGATTTAATGAAACCAGAAACACAAAAATAAAACAATTTTAACAGACTTCAGAGCATAATAGAAAAATTCTTTTAAAGGCAAAATTCTTGGCGTTTCTTTTTTAGTTCGTTTAAGCCGCTTTGAAAAAATCAGATGGGCTTGTTTCTTTAAGATCCCTCGCTTTTTCCATCAAGCCTGATAATTTCTTTTTGTCTCGTATCCTCTGCTTTCTTTCGTCTGTTCCTGTCTGCCTCCCTGGAGCAAATGAAAAGGCCACATCAAACAATGGATTTAGCTTTCTCCCTAAGTAGACGAGGGGAGCGCTGCGGGTAAACGAAGACACACGTAGTACGAATGTGAGCCAGGTGCAAAGATACATACAGTTCACTGGGTATTTTTGGTTTTTTATGGTTTTATACATCAAAAACAAAGTCTAACTTGGTTCTCATAATTTATCTTTTAAAGCCACGTTTTTTTTGACACCTAAATGTTTTTTCTTTAGTGAGTAGGTGTGTGAGTTTGATTAGGGATGCACTAAAAAGAAGAAAAATCCTGTAAAAAGTTAAATATTTGTTTCACAAAATATTGATGCAGGAACCATAAAAGCTTATTAAATTTTTGTTATTTTATAACTCAAACTTTAAAGTTATGTTCCATAAATTAGAAGTATTTTTTGAGATTTCTTAGATTTATTCTAATTTGACTACAAGCAGAAATCATCCTAATTAACAGAAATAAAGACTTTCAGGAATCCAACTGTGCATAATTAATCTATATAACATGATTCACTTTTTAATAAAGTTCCTGAAATAAATTTACTTTTAGATAATATCAAAATTTATTGAAAAAGCTGCAGATTCAAAAATGCTATATTTAGAAACCATAAAAATGTTTTCCACTTTCACATTAATTTAACTTTTCGAACTTTAAGTTAATCTGTCAGATTAAAACTACTTTTTGAATGTAGCAACCTTTAAGCAGGTAGGAAGCTTTTGTTTTCCAGTGAACGCACATTTCTCTGATGGAATAATTTTGTCATGTTCTCATTAACTGTAAGCTTACAGAAATAAAGGCTTTCAAACATCCATCTGTGTGAAATTAATCAATGGATTTTAAGTTTTATCGTGATATTTTGTGGTTATTTGATCTTTTTCTTGTCAGAAACGTTTAAAATTAGTTGCTAGTTTCATAAATTTAACTGGCAGCCAATCAGAAAATGGTATTTTAGTTCGGTTTAACTTATATTGGAAAAAAAAGTTGTTGTTTTTCCATTTTTCTTCCAGCTGAGACCCGACTTTGAAAAATCTTTTACTATACAAATAAAATTAATGATTGATTGAAAAAAAAAATCTGTTATGGCGATACATTTTCCTGGACTATAAATTGTCTCAGAAGTTATCGCGATAAACGATAAAATTGTTCATTTGAGACCATTTTAAAAGTAACGGCATGGTAAATATTCTCAAAGATCAATAAACTTTAAATTGACATTTAACACTGGAACTGGAAAATATTCTAAATATTCAAAATAAACAACAAATAAAATGAATTATGAATCAAACTATCCTTCAGAAAAGGTTAGTAAAGACCAGAACTGAAGACTTTGGTCATCCAGTTTTTGGTAGAAAAACGATAAATCATGTAAATGAAAATTATTGACTTTGTTTTAATTTATTATGTGATTAAATGTTTTATTAATTATTGCAGCAGACTTGACTGTAAAGCATCTTTTTTATGTAATTGCTGCAGTTTATTTAGAAATTATTTCTGTATCCTCTGTTTTGCAGCTGAAACTTCCCAATTTCCACACATGGAATCAGTGAAATGGAAGTAAATACGTGTCAATCCCATCGCAGTTCGCCCTGCAGCTCGTTCTTTCTTTCCTTCTTTCTTTCTTTCTTTCTTTCTTTCTTTCTTTCTTTCTTTCTTTCTTTCTTTCTTTCTTTCTTTCTTTCTTTCTTTTCTTTTTCTTTCTTTCTTTCTTTCTTTCTTTCTTTCTTTCTTTTTCTTTCTTTCTTTCTTTCTTTCTTTCTTTCTTTCTTTTCTTTCTTTCTTTCTTTCTTTCTTTTCTTTCTTTCTTTCTTTCTTCTTTCTTTCTTTCTATCTTCTTTCTTTCTTTCTTTCTTTCTTTCTTTCTTTCTTTCTTTCTTTCTTTCTTTCTTTCTTTCTTTCTTTCTTTTTTCCTGGTAGACTGGAAGAGAAAAGCTTTCCAAGGCCGAAGCAGAAAAATTGATAAGCCTTGTTTTCACAAGAGGCTTTTTGAAGTCGGGCTGAAAGAGATCTGAAGCTGCAATAAGTCGACTCGAGACGGTGGTGGAACTGATGCAATGTCAGTCACTTGAAGCTGGAGAAGCAACAGGAGGCAGGAGGAGGAGGTTAGCGGCGAACAGAAGGAGGAAGGAGTGGAGGAGCAGAAGGTGCAGGGCGGAGAGAGTCACAAACACGCCTGGCTGCTGATTGTGATTGCTGTTCAAACAAGGCTGACAGCTGCCACAAACATCTCCCTGCTTAATATGACACACATTTACTCTCACCTGCGCCGATAGCCTCCCGCTTTATGGCGCCCTGTTATCTTTTTTTCTGCTCCTCGGCCTGATAAGGCCGCTGTGATTGCCCTCCGCTCGCTCTGCAGCATGACAGCTCAATCACTCATCAAGTCAAGATGTCCCCTCGTCACTGGTCATGAAATACCACCCAGATCATCCTCTGTCATTCCTCTGTTTAGCCTCAAATAGATGCAGTCACTTCAACAAGGTGGATTTAGGTTGCAGTTTCCTTTAGTTTGAATCTTATGTACATGTACCCTTCTTTCTAAAAAGTGAACAGAAATTAGCAGGGCTGGATTTAGACGAATCAGGAGCCCGGGCAGGAGCCCGTTTTGGCGCTTTCACCCCCGTCAAAGAAATGCATAACAATTATGATAAAGTTCCTGAAATGATTCAAAACATTAGGCTGCATTATTTGTTGTAATCTGATTTGTGTACTTATGTCTTTATTGGACTGTGATTGGCAGAACAATCATAGCCACACAAACACAAATACTGCTCTAGAAAAACATTTATCAGACATTTATTTAGGACAAATTACTGTTGTTTTTTTCCACTAAGCTCCATAAACTAAATGCATTTAATCACATTTTCAAATTGTACTTATTGGTATTCTTATTTAACAAACAAAGAAATTTGTATAAAATAGAAATACTGAATCCAGACAGTTTCTGTTTTTGTCAATTGGAATTTGAGTAGATCGATATTCTTAGAGAAAATGCATCACGATAAATGATAAACGATACAAAGTTGGTCTCAAAATGATGTGCTGCAGTTTAAGACTGAAACGATTCACTGGATTAATCATAATGAATCGATTACTAAAATAATCGTTTTGTTTGAGCTTTAGGTGAATTTCACTGGATGAAATCTGTCACAAAGAACCCAGCAGCTGCAAAAAGGTCTGGACACAATGGTAAAAATACCAGATATGTGTAATAAAGAGAAGCAATTATCTAACAGGTTGAATTAGGACATTTTTTATCCGATTAATTAATGATCGATTACTAAAAGAATTGTTAGTTGCAGCCCTGCTTTAATGTCATACTTTTAAAATATTTTAGAATAATTTAATGAAAAAAAAACAAAACGCCACCACAGCCAAAATCAAACCTTAAGTTTGTAAAACATGCAGAGGTCAAAATAAGGGATACAAAATAAAGTTGCTGCCCTGTGAGAACTTGTAGCCCTGGGCAATAGCCCCAATAAGCTCTTTTTAAAGACGGATCAAAGTAGCAAATGCTGCAGAAATGGAAAATTTTAAATAAAACAAAAGAATCGGGAGTAGTAGTACTTTGGTTGTTTCCGATCTTTCCTGTTATTTTTTGTAAATAAAGAGACCTCACCTGCATTCGGTTCAGATCTGCTGATTGTTCATGTGGAAACTAAAATGTATAAATCAGAACAGATTTCCTCTTCCGTTACTTTTCTGTCAAAGAAAAAACGTGCAATGGCAAAATATAACCTTTCCCTGCAAACCTGAACGCCTTCAATGAAAATAAAGAACATTATTCCGTCCAGAGCCCGTTGTTCTGCTCTAATCTCCGCTCTTTATTCCCTCTTGTGTTTATTAAAACTCAAACTGTTGCCTCCAGTTTGTGGACAGTCTGGTGAAGCTGATAATGACTCGGGGTTGGGGGAAAGCAGAGCGTTAGTTATGCATGCAGAGGGCGTTCACTCACTACTATATAATTCAGAATGCTTGGCTTTTTCCTCCCCATCCTCCACAGAGAGCAACAATCGCGACATCAAATGCGCCCACTCTTTTATGCGCATTCCTGCTGTTTTCCCCTCTATTTCTGTCTGCCTGTGTCATCCTCCCTTTTCTCTTTCCGCACACACACACACACACACACACACACCACACACACACACACACACACACACACACACACACACACACACACACACACACACACACACACACACACACACACACACACCTCCACAGCAGCAGTTGCACATTATGGAGTGGTAACCAGGCAGCATCTAATTGCAATAATTGGAAGAATGTACCGAGCGGGCCTGTTTGAACACCTGTTAGCGCTGAATTTCTCTCATGGCTGCAGCTCGTCCCCGCCGTGTCACACCATTTGGTGCGCGTGCATGTGGGTGCATGCATTGAGGAAGAGTAGCAGGGGAGGAAGAGTATGTAAATATGACACGCTGGCTGCGCTCCAGCCCCGCGTTTCGCCGCTTCCAGAAGGAGACAGGCGAACAGGCATGAATGAAATGCGCGTTGCGTCTTCGCGCCTTTCATGCTGTCACCATTGTCATGAACGCTCCCGCGACCGGAAGTCTCTGCCGCGGGGACAGGTGCGCGGAGCTGTCCGCCCGCGCCGGTGCTGAAATCTCCCCAAACGCAACAGGCATAAAAATAAAGAAACTAATCTATTCAAAGTGAAATTTTAGTTTTTCTTTTAACAGACTAATTCTTCATTTTCATCTCTCCAGATTCACATTTCTTCTTCTTCTTCTTCTTCTTGTGTTTTTAACAGCTCCTCTCTCCAGTCCAGGCAGCAGCTCCAGTCAACATGAAGCTGTTGTCATTTTAATCCGTAACGACGCTTTAATTTCCTGTCTAATTTCTGATTCGCTTTCTTTTTTTAATGGATGTTCGGAGTTTGATTTGTGAGCGTGTGTTTCTTTAAAATGGAGCTTTGGATGAACCTACCTGTTGATGTAAAAGGTCCGGTCCGCGCCGCGCCGCGTCCTCACCAACATCTAAACCAAAAGGGGGAAAAAAGCAGTTAGAACATCGTAATGGGACCAGTTTTGTTGTATCTCCAAACACTCCCACCCCTCCGTGGGTCTCCGTCCGAGCTCACCTGGCTCCGGTTGGTCCGGAGCTCCGTTCCGGGTTGGAGCGCATGGAGAGCCGCGGCGCGTCCTGCGCGCAGAGATCAAGCCTCCGGTGCGCTGCTGGCTGCACCTTTTAAAAGCCTCCCCTGGACCAATAGGAGGTCTGTCAGCGTGATGGGACCTGACGTCACTCTTCCCTTCCCTCACCTAACAACCCACCGCCCCCTCCTCCGCTTTTCTTCAACTATATGTTAAGAAAAATACCCACATCGCCTCCTCGGAATTAGAACAAAAAGGTGTATTTTTTTTCTTCCAGTTCTCATAAATCTCGGCTTTCTGTGTGATTTATTCTTTGTAGACCGGAAGCAGGTCAGGATTTGGAGGTGAAAATAACCAAAACAGACTCTGAGTTATCAGGATTAAATCAGACACAGGTGGACCTCAGACATATTCAGCAGCAGTGTGATGAGTTCCACACTCATTTTAACTTTTATCATGTTTTCTACGGTGATAATTAAAAGTTTTGGACTTTGAAGAAGAAATACAAGATGAGTTTTTGTTTTTTGTTTTACTTTAAAAGCTGTTTTAGTGAAACATTTGCTTCAGTAAACTTACATTCCAGACATCTGGAATCAGTTTCTGGTGAGACAGGCTAAGTTTATAACGCATTTCAGAAACGAGGCACTTCAAAATGCTTTATGTCATAAAAACATAATCAATAATCAATTGAGAAACCAAATCTGATCGGTTTTATAAAAACGATCAGATTTTATGAATTAAAAGCAACTCTAAAAAGTCTTGATTTAAAGGAACTCAGTGTTTCAGCTCTTTTTCAGTTTTCTAGAAGTTTGTTCCAGATTTGTGGTGCATAGAAGCTGAAAGCTGTTTCTCCATGTTTGGATCTGGTTCTGATGCAGAGCAGAACCAGAACCAGGAGACCTGAGAGGTCTGGAAGGTTGATACAACAACAGCAGATTAACATTTTACAGTGTGAGCGTGCACTGTAAAAAAACACAAAATCTTACCAGGTATTTTTGGTTCAGTTTCTTTGTTAACTTGAAATAAGATATATTGTATATATAAAGTATTTTTTTAATATTCATAAAAACATACTGCTTCTATTGGAAAATTATTTCACTTAAAGTCTTGTTATGTGTGAAACAATCAGCCAGTGGAACTGGTATTTTTTTAATTCATTTTATAGTGATCAATAATTGCCTTGACCAAGTTCTCATATCTTGCTGAATCACTTGTAAGCTATTTATAGCTTATTCAACTGTACTAAGATATTTGGTCTAGAAACTGACCAGAATTACTTATTTCTGTTTTTGCAGTGTAATCAATGAGTAAAAGACAAACTGTCTCTTCTTTTTGCAACTTTAATCCTGGAAATGTGCGCTGACTCTACACCGTTCATTTTCAGACACATAAAAAAACAAAACTTCAGTTTTGTTTCTGGATGATATCTTCAAATGTAACAGCGGTCATTTTGGTCGAACAGTTCGATTTAAGTTGCGTCTGCCCTCCAGGAGAATTAGAGTGTTTTGTAGTTTTTAGTGTTTGTTTTAGAGTGACGGCTCCTTCATTTCAGCCTGAACTCTCTGTGGACGACCAGGATCTCCTGCATGTTTCAGCTTTTTGCTTCTGTTCTGGGGTTGATATTTTAATTATTATTGATTATTTGAGACACACACTATAAAGTTTTTAATAAGTGTATAGCAATTTTTATCATATTATAAAGCTCCCCTGTATTATAAAGTCTTTTATTTGAAGTTATTTTTTTTAAACCTGGAGAAAACAGATGCATTCTTCTGAATTTCAAAATAATTTCCATCAGTAATGAATCTCTCAAATCTGGGAATAGATTTTGGCTTTAATTGTAAATACATAATTTATGCTATTTACTGACTAACAATGATAAACTGCTGGATTTAAACACTTTTTTCTGTGTGATCTGTGTTGTAACCCTGTTGACTCCAGCTCTTCAGATTGAAGCAGCGCTATGTCTACAAGAGAATCTGAACAAAACAAAAAGAAAGAAAGAACTAATGTTACGTTTGGTTTGAACTCGAACTCGCTCGGCAGATGACAGCTACACATAATCTGTCACTGTGTGGCTCCTCTGACAGAAGCGCTCAAAAGGAGATGAATTTTAAACACAAATGAGCAATTTGTTGGCCATTGTGTGCATCATTGTACTTTCTAATTTCCCAGACTCAGAGGCCCATTGTGGGGAAACTCCATTGTGTTGTCGAGTGCTTTTTCTTTTTTCTTTTTTTCTCGGTTGTTGTTGTTTTCTGGCCTTTTTTCCCATGTGTGCAGCTTTTCAGATGTGCTCATAAAGACACTCACAGATGTTTGTGCAGGGTTTTCTTTGGCCTCCTGTCTATGTATAAACCTGGGTCAAGTTTGGTCCCATCAATGGGAGAGTGCAGGACAAAGGACAGCAAACAGCAGCGACGCTTCGCTACCTGTGAGCCCAACTGGCCGTGTTTACAGCTGGTTCTGACACGTCCAGCGGGAAAAGAGCGGGTTCTTTCAGAGAAAAGATGGGAAAATACTAATTTGAACCAACCTGATGGATTTATATAGTTTATTTCACCAACGTGGCATTTCATAAAAACATTAAAAAAACATAAACGCATAATATTGTCAACAATTGTGAAAACCAATAACAGAAACTCATCAATAAACATCAACTATGTTGGTCAATGTTCAATTTATTATGGTTCAAAGGCAAAACTAAACCGGTGAGATCCTGAGATTTAATGAACTCAAAGCAGCTGAAACACTGAGTTCATCAAAAGCAACTTTGGTTGAAGGATTTTGCTTTTGTTTTTGATAGAAGAGCCATTTCTGCTGTTAGCGCTGGTTAGCACATGCTGTATTTACCCATAATGCCCTGCGCTGTGGTTGACCTGCTGCCAGGTCTCTCTGGTGCGGTTCTTACATTTGCATTTGAACTCCACCAGAGTTCACTGTGTTTCACACTCACATCCGGACTGACAGCGGAAACAAACTGAAGTTGGATTAAATCGCACTACACAGAATTTCTCAAGTTGCAGTTTTAGCTTCAGCTGTAAACAAAACATTTCATGTTGATGTTAAAGTATTGATCCTTTGTTACAAATTATTGAGTATTCACTAAAGGAATGCTGTGTCATTGCATTTTAGGTAGTAAAATGTTTATTGAATTATTTTTTTACTAATGTATTTCCCATATTATTTCGAAAAATGATTAATTGGAAACTCTGCAAAATGTGTCATTTTTTTATCTGATTAATCATGAGAATTATCAATTATTAAAATAAGCAGTTAGCTGCAGCTCTAATTAATACAACATTACATACAATAAAAATGTGCGTCAACTAATAATTTACTTATTAAACTATTGAAACACAAACTTTAGCACCACGAGGAACTGAAACATTATGTGGTATTTGTGTGATAAAATAACAGAAAAAGTTCTGAAATATTTTAGCTTGATGTGAGTTTTTTCTTTTTTTGTGCTGCTGCTGTTATTTCCAGTTTCTACGACCTGCAGCGAGTCGCAGCCGATAAAAACACAATCAGAGCCGTTATTCAGAGCTTCAGAGGCAGAAACAGCTGGCTGTTCCTCTCATGAACGAGAAGAAATTTGCATTTGCAGCATGTTTACGGAGCTGCAGGTCAGATTATCTCTGAAGCTCCTGCATCTGGTACTCCTGGAAGAGCTTTATGGAAAAATTAAATATATATTCACAAACTGGAACCTGATCTTGTACGTTTTTATTTGCTTGGGTGACTGTTTATTTTTTAAATTAGTTTAGAGTTTATAAATAGGTTTAAAGGGTCACAGGGAGGTTCTATTAACCTCTGTAGTTTAAAAATGCAACCAAATTACAAAGAAAGGAGAATTTTTGGGAAATAAAACGATTTATGTTGTTTAAATGTGGCGTCTATTTACATTCTGCCCACTTTAGAAAATGATTTGTTGAGTCCATTTATGTTTCAGCTCCAGCTGTGGTTCTTTACAGCTTTGACTGATTTTTGTTGCAGATTCATCTGTGTAAAATAGCTCAAACTCAGACTGGACTTTGACTAGGCCGTTCTAATCTTTGATTTCAACTAATCTTCACCATCTGTTATATTTGTAGTTGCATGTTGAGGGTAGTTGTCCTGCTGGAAGGCAAACCTCCTCCCCAGTTCCAACAGGTTCTTCACCACAGATTTACCTTTTCAGAAATCAGTCATTTCTCATAAAAAGTGCATTTTGACATAATTATTTTATCTTCTCTTTTTTTCAGGGACCAGTATCTGCTAACATGACAAGTTATTCTTACTTTTTACTCTCTTCAGGCTCCGAAGTACAAACTGTCAGCAACTGGATCAAAAACCTTTTTCTCCACATTTTATCTGTTTCACACCAAACTGTCACAACATGGTGACAGTTTCAATAAATATGTACAAAATATGTTTATTTATCTAAGTTACGTACTGCAGCTTTCTCAAGGAATAATATTTGTTTTGAATTTATGATTTCATACAGAAAAATGCTATTTATTTGTTTAATTAAAATAGTTTATGGTTAGTTTATTGCTGAATTAGTAAAAAAAAAATCACATTTTTCTTTGTAATAGGGCAGTCGCATGTCTTCCATTGATTTTATAGCAAAATCAAGAAACTATGTTAGTTTCTGTTGTTATAAAAATCTATTTATATAGAATGCAACTTAAAACAAAATTTTACTTTATGATTGAATGACATCTCACGATGGCTCCTCTATCAATCCTTTAACAATGTTTTACCAGCGTTTCACTGAGAAGTAGCTCCTATAGTAAGGTTCCACCAGGAGTTTGCTAATTTCTATTAGCTAGTCTGAAGGAGCTGAGTAGGGGAGGAGCTGCATCTTGAAAGCAGGGCTAGGTCCACCCAGGCGTTTAGGGATTTCTCAAACATGCATGGGAACCCTCCAGAAAATTATAACATAACGCAAAGCGTAACAAAGTAAAATGTACACAATTCTGAGCCTTTAAAAATGATATTTTTGACTAAGTGTTTGAACACTTCGTCCTCTAAACCCAAACTCACGGCAGGTTGGGCCTCAAATCCACTGGTT